GTACATTCTCTGTTGTATCGTGCTACCTGCATTCCTTTCAAATTGACTTTCGATTTACAAAAATCGTTTGTATCATCGGAAAATTCATTTATACAAAGTATATTTGATAACTTCTGAAATCACTTTATAGATTTTTAATATACCTTGAAATGTTATAGGCATCAAAATTGTGAACAAGGTGTATCGTTTATTTTCTTCGTTGTAGTACAATTATCGGTTATTTTTAGTTTCTGTCAATGTTATTGATTTAATCCGTAAGGGCTGCTATAACCGCAACCTTAAAAAATCTAATTTATTAATTTAGAAATTGTTGTGTTATTTGCTTTTCGGCCGAAAATTCACGTACGGTCGCAGTACCATAAGCATATGATACCATAAGCAAAGATACTCAAGACGATTCTGAAAGCAGATCTCCAGTAATCTATACATACATAGATTGACCGTGCCCAACGTTGTGTTAATGTTGAATAAACATAATTTGAATAAAATGAACGATGTTTAGAAATATGATTGATATGTAAATGAATACACTGCCAATCCCTTTATTTTTTAGTTAGATACTGTATACATATTTACAGACACACAGAATTTATGAAATTTGAGATTCTGAACCACGTGCTCATAGGGTATTCAACAAACGTTTTTCGCGTATTTATCAAGCTATTGTGAGAAAAAAATGTCACCAGTTATAAAATTATTGTATTGTTAAAGTACACAATGTTAAAATGACGCATTATAGATTATTGCATCAAATATCTCGTAAATATTAAGATTGTTGATGATCTTATTGTATACCTTTTATTAGCAGAATGACAAAAAATGATTTATGCAAAAAACATAATTTACGCGGTGCCATTTAAAAGAAGTACTATTTGTATTTTGCCAAAACATTGTGTCACAGTACATAGCAAGACCCATTATACATACAAAAATTATTTTCTTAGATTCTTTGAAATCTTCGTTTAAAATAGACCCACGGTCTGGTCTAGTTACTAGAATCAGCTTCATAAAAGAAAAGTATCATGACATAAAGAGTTACTAAAACTTAATTAAATAACCTGATTTTTCGTTGCCGGGAATTTTTATTTTCATGTAGCTTGGGGAAACATTTAACCGATTTAATAAAAAAAATGGTTTTATTAAAAGGGAAATAACAAAATTATTCAAAAATATCTAATTGATACTGCTGGATAAATTAACGTTCAGTCATAAAAAAAATACTTTGGAGCTTATTAATCTATTATAAAAACATTGGGTAATCTTGTCTCGTGGACTGTTGATTTACTTTTAAGAACGGCGAAGAGTAGAAGAAAATTGTTATACCGTTCCTTGAACAATACGAAAAAAAGAGATTTCTGTATGTTAAAGTCAAGTCCCATTTTTAAACTGATAATTGTTCATATCTGTAATGAAAAAAAAATCTAAAACACGAAGATAATTGCAATATTTATAAATTTAATCCATTTCTAAATCAATCCATAAAGATTATATGATTCAACGATTTAGTTTATACACTCAAGGCAAAGTTATGTACATTAAAGCAAGAACGCAAAGGGATATCTGCTTTCTGAATAATTATCGGAATGCCCCGGAATAATTCGAGCCACGCTCGCATTGAATTCCTTGTTATTTAATGCCCTCGCGGAAGTTCACAGGAATACGAGATACATATCCGCTACATGAAGTGCAAGGTTTCGTACAAGATGCAATAAAAGCATGGGTCGCTTGCTGGGTTTGTAGTTATAATGCAGTTACCATTCCGTGGAATGACGAGAGTTACGAACGTAGTAATTGGTTGGCACGTGGGCGCCTCATTAATACCGTGTTGCCGGCGTGTCCGACCCGTGTGTTTTATAGGGTTGCTGTGAGTGTCGTGACAATGCGTGTGAGAATGCTTGAATGAATTTCTGGAACAGTGATCACGATGTTTACGGTAAACTCATTTTTAAGTCATGACATCTACCTTCTGGAAAAATAACTTAATATGAAAAAAATACTGTTGTGTGAGCTCTTATCAATGAAATATTCTTGGAACATTCTGTTGTGTCTAGAACAGTGTTTTTCCACCTTTTATGATCTCATGGCACACTCGAATCTATAGTTAAACTTCCAACAATGATATACTCGTATGATCAATTTCAAGAGCTTTTGTACAATCAAATTCTTTCGAAAATAATTTAATTAATGGTCCTTAAAAGTTTTCTTCGAGGAAAGTCTTTGAGCCTCTTTTTTTATTTGCGTTGAGATGTGTTTATATTTACATTACCATGATAGATAGTGCCCGTGATTCTTTACGATAGTATTTCATTTTTTTTTTTTTTTTTTTTTGACATTTCTATCAGTACGCTTTATATAATAATTCTTTTGAATTTTAAAACGGAACACTTCACTTTTTAGAACATTCAATCGTCAGATTTTATTCGGTAATATAATTATGTAACGAATTCCTATTTTGTTACAAATGGTAAACTTGTCGATTAACCCTTAACTACATTGGCGGAGTACAAACGCGGGTGTAGTTGTATAGGCCAGATTTGGCCAGTGTATTTGAGGGTTAACTTAGTCCAGTTGTTGTGCCACGGTAACTTCAAATTTTATCCGTTATTCTTATACATAAATAATGGATAATGTAATATGTACACGTATTCTGTTATTATTTTTGTAATTATTATACAAGGGTAGTTCTTGGAGACACTGCATTACGTTTAAGCCATTAAAAATTGTCGTCGAAGGAAGTGTAAATAGGTTTGTAAGAACAATCTGTAATACTATTTAAGCTTTATTATAAAAAAGCAAATGTACCCAGTAAATGATCAGAAAGAAATCGAGTCTATTTCCATACTTCAAAATTCATATAATATTGGTTTATTCATATTATGATTTGATTAATATTCTAATGTAACAATAATCTTTATAAAACACATTTTCTTTTTTAACCTTGTAATCAATGCATATTTAATTCATTACTGCCTGGTCTGAATATTACACATCAGTATTCATTGGTACTTTTCTTAAATGCATTAAAAATATTGTGAATTTGTCGTGAAGTTAAAGTATGGCCTTAATTACGCTCGTTGCGAAGAATGGCTGAGCAGTTTGTAGCGATTTGTTACGTAACTTCGGTTATTCAAATCGATGAAATCGTTGATGGTTTTTGCGAAAGGCGGGCGTTGGATGAAAACTTTCGTTGCAAGGGTATCCGGCATTCTTGCGCTGATCAGCTATACTTAACGACGATGTACAGATGAGCATTCTGCATGCACGCACGTGATGCTGCATATTCATAAGTTGTGACTACGGCCAACTACATTTCCGTAGCAAGCTTCAACACGTGCATCGAATAAATACTTCGTACTGTTACGGTCGATAGTGTACGGGTATAGGCAATTGATCTCGGTTTTTTTTCTTCTTATTTGTTAGCAGTATCTGGGTCTTGTATAGGTATTTTTCATGCCAGATAAACCTCGCGCATTATTCTCCTGATAGATTTCCGTTGTTGTATACGTACATGACGGAAGAACTCGAATTGAAATATGCGCATAATGAATAAATGTGGTAGATACATGCTGTGCACTTTCAACAACGTTCCGTATCATATTTGTTGGAAATTTTTTAATGGAGTTTATTAAATTAGAGTAATAATAATAAACGTTCTTAAATTTGATAATAATGTACACATTTTTGTAGACTAATAAAATAGGTGATATACTTATATACTAATTTTAGAATCTGATCACGTGCTATTTTATATACAAAATATTCTTGTACAGGAAGGAAACAAAAATTAAGCATCATCGTTGTTAGAGCGTGCCTTCTGATTCTCGTCAGGTTGAAAATTCGGGTTTACGCTCGCTTGAACTATTGTGCAGGTAGTGCCAACTAACGATAGAAGTAATTTACAGTAATATTTTTTTAAAGGTGCACACAAACTTAAATACTACAATGAGTTCTATGTTGTCTTAACTCTTCGTCTAATGTGTGTCCTAACTGATGTGTACCTGGTGTATTGTGTCTCCTGTATATTTTGTTTGTCTGGTTTTGTTTCTCCTTTCTTTTATACTCAAGTGGTGTAAGGGGTCGGTGGTATGTGGTTAAATCGGAGCTTGTGGTGCCCCTTTGTGGGCAGTCTTCTCGGTGGCACGAGGCTTCTGCTGAGCATGAGTGTGGGGGTTGAAGCCGTTACGAGAAGGCCCATAGGGGGATGATAGGTCCCAAGAGGTTTCGCCGGTAGCAGACCCGAGAACGCCCGAGCAAACGAGGGAAAATCCCGAGGTGTAACACTGACTTTTTGATGAGCCTCTCCGCAATGGTAGAGCTTGAAATTCTGTACCAATAGTTTACGAATTATTTAATGTTAAAATTACGGTCGGCCCATATCATCTTATAATGTGACCACGTTTACTGGAAACGAACATGGTGGGGTTTGTAAGGCTGCTGATACGCTCTTGTTTTTGTCGGAGCGTCAAACCTTGTTGGAGGAATTTTTTAAAGATCTGTTTGTTAAATTTTTAGTTTTTTAAAATATGTGTATGGTGTACTATTTTTTACTAACCTTTAAATCAACGCTGGACGAAATTGACTACCGGTAGCTAAACGCTGTCCCCACCACCGTCCACTGTTATTGAGTGACAGAGAGAACAGTCTGAGCTTCTTTATCTTTACGAATGTGAAATTAGTCAATTAGAACTTAAGATATCGATTTAGCCTTTTAGAAAAATTACGATTTCGACAAAAACGCGTTTGAATTTTGTACGTTCCACGCTGCGGGCTGTGTGCCATTTTCTTTAAAACATCTATTACTTCATTCATTTTACGAGTTCGGAAAAATCCTGCATACTTTCGAAAACCTATGTTTTAAGAGGATGCAACAAGGAAAATCGATTTTTTTAAAGATCTAGATTAGAAAATTCTCTGAAGTTTGCTTACACTCTATATAGTAAGCAGAGGAAATGGGAAAATTTGTGATTTTGAAAATGTTTAATTCACTGTATTTATTGCAGGACTGACGCGTCGAAAACGGAAGAAAACTCTATCTCAACAAATGGCGCGAAGACGACGAAGGATGACAATGGTTGGGAAGTGGCCACAGGTAACGAACTTAAATTATTGCTAGAGATCATCATCCGTTGTCCTTATCTTCGAGAACAGTCGAGAGCCACGCTGAAGAGTAACGCGAAGGGGATATTATTTGTATCACAATGAAGTATTTAATAGAATATCGGCGAAGATGAAATAAAAATAAAAGAAAAATATTAATAGCCATTAATTTCTTCTGAAATATAACTTTGTTTTAGAATAAGTTTGTTGTCGTAATATCGAGATATCCAGTGCTACGATGTATTTTTAATTTTCAAAGAACAACATGAGTAAAATACAAACCATTCCATTCTGATACAAGGAATTTCCGATATTCAATTATTTTCGAAGTTTTATCTTACTAACTATTATACAGGACTATAATATATTAATGCTCTGAACGTAAAGGATTTAGAGTTAATTAATAAATTAGAAGGGTTATGTCGTTGCGCATAAACCAATGTTATTTAATTCTTTGCACAGGGAAACGACGTCGGAGACGGAAGGACAAGGGAGATGCTGAAGATTCTGTGAAGAAGAAGCCCTTCACGGAGGCATCTTGGGATTGATTGGAACTGAATAAATGGAATAAATTGAAACATTTTAAAACTGGTCGATGATATTTTATTGTATCATATCTCGTTTTATAATTTTGGTAGTGAGTTAGAAATCTATAATTATTTTCTTCTATGTATATAGATACCTACATACAAAAGAACGAAGGAAATATGATCTGTAAACAGTGCTAATTGCATAATCAGAATTACTGCAATAAATTTTCATTGGATTCAGGTTGTCGAAAGATCCAATGTATGACAATTAATGGATCAATAATGTCTTTGCATTATCACATCAATTAAATCTTTGTAATACATTTTCTCCTGATAATTAGGGGAATACAGTCAGTCGGCCGTGGTGTAATTGGAATCAGATTTGGTGAGGAGAACGTAGAAGTATAAATGTGGTTAATCATAATTAAATACTGTAGTTACATATTGTGTTATAATTCTAAAAGCGTGATGTGCCGCCTAGAAATCGCTTTGTATCATTAAGTGCCCTTCACTATAAATACAGGTATACATAACATTTTTTCTATGTAGTAGATCTGACTGTCTATTACTAAACATGATGATGAAAAGATTGATACAATAAAAGACCTGTTACAATGAATCACCACTTTAGCGTAATAATCATTTTAAAAATTTGCTCCCTCGGCATCATGATCCTACTATACTTAATTATTGGATCTGAAAAAATTACGAAATATACATAGTCACAAAACTGATTTCTTTCGACCTTTTAAGATTTACTACAACAAATTCCGTGAGATCCATTAATTTTATCAACAAATATTATAAGCGCAATGTTAATAATAATTATTTTTTACTTTAAATCATACATTTAACGTCTTTTACCTTTTCTATCCATGATAACACAGAAAAGCACAAAAATGCAACCACAAGATCAGTATGATGCTAACCGGTCGGCTTTCAAAGACTAAAAAAACTGCCATTACTAATAACTAATATTTTTGTCATTATTAATCATTAATTAATAATTATGTACCGAATAATCCATATACTTGCGCGACTCTCGATCCGAGTGCTTAGAACTGCTTCACGGGAAAGGCTATAACTCAACCAATTTTACGAATTTCTTTCTGAAATACTCAGACAATATTTTTAAAATCTTTCAGAAAGTGTAAGAATAAAATTGATTTTTAAAAAATTGTCTCTATTGTTCCCACTTAATGCATAAGTTCTGGAAATGGCCTCCACAGCCCGAACATTAATCCGTGCATTAATCGAGTGCGTACTCTATAAGGTAGTGAGAAATATGAAACAAATTTTTTTAATTTTCTTTCACTGTTACACTGGTGTAACCCTTAAATTCTAAGTACATAAAAGAACGGTCCATGATATTAAACACGTGCTGTTCGACAATTTTTGTCGTATTATCCGGGACGAAATAATAATAACATATTTCTTCAAACGCACAACAGAAGCTTCACATTTGGCATATTAACAGTATGCTTATAACTGTCATGTAGAGTGACCTCAACAGGTACCTATAAATATACAAGATTTCTGACGATGCAGTGTTTACATTTTCAAGTTTGATTTCATGGTTCAGTTGATCGTTGTCCACCGTGAGAATTAGTTCGCAATACCTTTTCCAACGTTTCGAGAATACTATCGCGAGTTTAGAACAATTTGTATCATCTTCGTGACGTGTGTCTATCGAATCGACTATAAATCACTTTATTGTGCATATTTTAAACGGGATGTTCAATGTTTAACAAATAAGGAAACACTGTTATGAGCGCGGTACGTACTTAATAAACACAATTTATGTATTGCCTGCGATTTCTGTTGCAAATGTTTGATCATAGATCCGGGAGATTTATCAGAATTATATTCAACAACTTATATTAGTTTTCACGCATAGATATATTTGAGTATAAACAATGTAAGTTTCTTTCGTTTCGAGTAACAAAATCTTCATTGTCGCGTTGTTTCGTGTTTACAGTATTGTAACACTAATTTGTTATGAAGTTTTTAGTGAATTATATTATAATTATTGTAGGTATACATTCGTATGAAAACTTCAATACAGATTTCATTTTGTCGTAATAGAACTTTTAGTAATCGAAGTAAAATTCTGTTTAATTTTCGGTTTTTATAAATTAGCCTATACAAATATAAATTTATACTTACAAACGTCTAAAATTTAATAATTACCTGCGTACGGTTAAAAGTGTGAAGATCGAGATTCAAGCTATAAAATGCGAAGGATGCTGTTGCAACCACAAAATCAAGGAACTGAGGACAGTTATAACACGCCTTTAAGTAGAGGTCTCAATAGGTTACAGAGGAGACGATTGGTGGACAAGCTTTTAACATCGGTGAGTTTCATATTTTATTTTTTTCTTATTTTACTCGTGACAAATTGATTCTATTTGCATACTTTACAGGGTGAGCAACGTATATTCTATGACAAACTCATATAATTCATTCGTTATACTGTTTTATTTTTTAGTAAAGTTTAGGAAAAATTACTCAAAATAAATTTTGTTTGTTTTCATATAAATTACATACAGATTTAAACGTTTACATCTGTTTCTGTTAGAAAAAGTGAAAGTCTCCTAATCATGTTAATATAGTAAATGTTATTACTAATATTCAAAATATAATTTGATTTAATAGATAGAATTTATTGGATTTTATTAGATGATATGTTTCACTTTATGATCGTGCTAACAGAAATGAAATAGCATATGCACATGTTTTTCATATCAGGTTACTATTTTCATTTTTAATATTATAAAGAAATATCAAAAAGAGAACGGTAAGCCTATATTTTCGATGGGCTGCATCAGAAACTGTGGAAAATCATCTTACAAGATTTACACCTTATTGTTTCTGTAAATCATTTTTAAATTCATTTTCAATATTATAAAAATTATAAGTATTTTTAAAAACAATAGCTTAGTTCTTATAATTACAACTTATCTACTTTGCTCACAATAATAATTTCAGATGCTGAAAAAGCAGAACTGTAATATATATTTTTTACTTGAAACTTAAGAAAACGTAAACATATATTTTTAATAACAAAACACAGTTTGTATAATTTATACTTACAAGGTTATGATAAACTTGAACTTTTGTATTGAGAAGTTACATTTGAAGTAATCAATACAAATAGCTAATCTATGTTCAGCACATAATGCACACTTGCATTTACCATACATGTTTTCTACATCACCGTATAAAAACCTGGAGTGCACTCTACTAGGTTCTAATCAATATTACTTACTCGAAAGGTACAGTAAATTGCGCACCTTTCCACGCTCGATTATACCGGTCGAATTAAACATTGGCGGTGTCACCGGCGACACCGTGTTAATGTTCCAAGGTTAATAATTTGTAATATTTGCGATCTACCTGGAAAAGCTCACCAAAACCTTGGCAGGAATTTTGTGAAAATGTAATGAAACCGGATAAGATTTTTATTTTGAATTAGTAACAAAGACGAATATAAATAAATTGGAAGTTAAACTATGAGTAACCGTTTTTATAATACATACATATTACATTTATTAAACATAATTAATATCAAAATCTTCCTTGCATTCTTGTTGATGTTGACAAGTGTTGGACATTTTTGAGGTTTCGAAGGGCATTACATTTTTAAAATCAAGGCACATGCCGCATAGAAACCCCAACCCTGCCACAACAAACTCGACACGTGTTTCCGAATTATTCATTCTTCAAATTAAATTGCGTAGTCATTGTTGCTTGATATACGTATCCTTGTAAATGACTAAGAACTGTCTTAAAAATTTTAATTGTATGTCCACGTAACAATACTCCCGTATATACAAGTGTGTACAAGTTACCTGAATAATACTATCACAATAAGTAAGAGATAATCGAAATTAAAAAAATACTTTTTAATTATAGTGTACCTACAGAAAATCAATTCATTACTCGGCATTTGATGACCTTTCTATTTACGGTATGCGATGCCGTTAACCGAGCGATGCGATAGTTGAATACGAATGTCAGAAAATTTTAAAAGAAATGTTACTCTCTTACTGTATTGCTCATTTTCACCGACGCGGCCTGAACGGAAAGTTTACTGTCAGTCACCGATGACATAGCACTCAACCTATTAAAGACACAATTTAACAAAATTATAATTAAAACACATTTAAACACACATTTCTTAAAAAGAGATCAATTTCTATTATTCTTATTTTATTTTTAACTATAGAAGTTACAAATACATATTACATTATTTTGGCAGCTCCGGAGCACCATTTGTGAGATCAATTTTGTCAATCTTCACACTGTATCCAGCTTTCATTAGATGATAATACCGAGGAAAGATATACATTACAATATTTTGAATGAAATTCCTTATATTGAAAATTGAGTGAAACAGTGTAGTACCCCCTGTTCTGTCCGACCGTTTGCTACTCTGTTTTGTCCTTCGGCAGGAAAAAGGCATGGCATTACTTAAGCAAGCAACCTATGGATAATGTATATATATATCTAAACAGGTAAATAAATTCTGATTAAAATGAGCTACTTACCATTTTTCTGTTGACTTGTGAATGCTCGATAAAACATTGTATAAATCACAAAATATCTGTTGAAAGTTTCGGTAAATGCAATATTTACAAAAGGGGACCCAGTTCCGATGACCTTGACCTTGACATATGTTGTCAATGTCAACATTCTGAACAACTTTTCTCTATACATGTACCAGTCGCTCGGACTTAGTTTTTTAGGTATTCGCAGAAAACTTTTGTGAAGCTTAGGTTACTAATATACTTCATAAAATATTCGATTTTCATGAATTAGATTGTCAAGAAAGAATATTCGGAGTTGGTTGGTGGCCCCTCTCCCAAAACAATAGACGAATTTGGGAACTTTTTTGAAACTTAGGTTGCGAGCAGATTTCATTCTGCAAATTTTAATATGGGATGTTTAAAAATAAAATATAAGTACGTTGAATAATTATTTATTGAATACATTTTGCTCATTATTTAAAAAAGAAA